CAAATCCCAAATCAAAAGCCCCGCGTACACGACGCCTGACTCTTCAATCCTCTCTTGGCGTCTTGGGCCTTGGGACGCTTCGCCTCCACTGTAAAGATGCTCCGTGGTCTTCCGTGCGATTGCAGGGCTCTCAACCTTCATGGAGGAGTTCGGGTTTGCAGGATTCAGGGTTCAGGGTCAACAGGTCTAAAGGGCCCCTAGCTGCCTAGCTTTACAGGGTTTCATACGGCTTCTACAGAAGTCTTACGATGGAGGGATATTTTCTTCAGAGATCGCTGCAGATGTTGCCCGAATTCCTCAACCTAGACCTCCTGGGCCCTAAACTAAAGCAGACGGAGATAGGCCTTACCTGTAGTCTCCGTTGTAGTTCCTTTTTTGGGTTTAACCACATCTATATTAAGGATTTTATAAGGTATCCCCAAAAAGGAACTACAATGGAGACATAGGTATACTAAGGCAGACGGAGACAGGGCTTAATCCCCAGCAGGAAAAGCCCTAAAGGTTTTGCATAAGGGTATAGCCAGGTTAGCAGGTCGGATGCTAAGGTTCCACGCCTAAGTCCCCTTGGGCGGTCTGAATGATTGAACAAAACCCCTCCATCACCTCTATATAACCACACTAGCAGAGACACAAAAGGCAATCAAGTGTTCAGGCCTCCTTCAGGCCCCTGATTGCGTTGCTGTCGGGGCCGCATGACCGCGGACCACGGTAAGAATGTTGATGACCACCATAATGATCACTACTGCCCTTGCCCTCTGCATCTGAACTTATCAGCAAGTTTGACAGCAAGGATGACAGCAAGAGGAAACAGTCAATAGTACTGACATCATGGTAATAGCAGGGGTTGAAAGCTTCCTCGCAATGGTGCGTCGGAAGAGCGACCCAAGCTGCCGCGAGGCGTTCAAGTCTGCGGTACTCGATCCATTCACTGCTCGACGGATCCGGGGACTCAAGTGTGTTGCAGTGTCATTATTGCCCTGCTTGGAATCATGATGCCTACAAGCTTTCGAGTCGCTTTCTTTCCGAGCTCCTTGATCCACCACCCAATAGTTAGAAATTGGGTGGACGAGTATTTCTCCCGCGCCTCTGCGAATCGGAGCAGTTCGGGGCCCAAATAACTGCCTTTGAACTGAACCTGAATCCTGCGTAAGACTTCAGGTGGGTGAGGGGAGGTGTTGCTCGGGAGGGGACGGAGCCAGTGAGGATTGCCAGCAGCCTGACTGCTGCTGCTTTCCGCTTCCGCTTGCTCTGACCATCTTCCAGGCATTCCATACCAGCCCCAGTCCCAGAAAGGCTGCGCAGGGGACTGGCAAATTTGTCAGGTTCGTCCATGGTATGTACATACTTTACCAATATCCTTTACCAATATCCGTATGTACGTATACATACATTGTATACACACACACATATATATATATGTATACATATGTATGTGTACTGTATATGTATGTGTATGTGGAAAGGTGTGTATGTCCATTATTAATACAAATCTACTTATACTTAGACAAGCGAGTATGCGCAGATATGTTGGTTGATCGTTTCAACTAAAGCCATGAGCATGGGGACACGCAATTGTGTGATTACATTCTGATATTGAAGGGGGTCTTTGTCACCTGTTGCAAGCACGGTTGAAAGCGGCTTCTCTACAGCCCGAACGAACCAAGAGTTCCCGCTTTCCTCTGACCGTCACTAACGGGACGACCGGACAGCTTAAAGGTAGAGGGCATGGATCATCCGGCCGACCGTCTTAGTGAAGGTCCCTGCGCAGCCCCTTGCGCCACGCCAAGGCGATGCCAGCATGGCGCTTCCAATATTTCTCGCGCTTGCCACTGCTCAGAACGCCCCTTCCAAGGAAGCTGGGGTCGAGTGCAGGTACATTATCCGCATGGCCAAATCAACGGTGACAACAGCAGTGATGGGAGTTGTCATGTACGAAGGAAATCCATAAGAGTACTGGTAGGAATCGTCGGGCAGGTAGTCGTAGCAGTTGCAGCCCTTGTCGTCGTAGTCGCACTAGCAGGGCTACGAGGAGGAGCAGTTCTGTGACTAGGACTAAGACGACTAGGACGACTCGGATGACTCGGAGGACCAGGAGGATTAGGAAGATGTGCTCCTCACTCTCCAGAGCTAATGCCTTGCAAGGCGCACATGTTCTACAGTCGACATTAGTCGACAGTCGACATTGGTTTCAACCTGGCATTCCTAAGGACGAAGGAGGGACATGGTACTCTATATGGAGGGGTTCGCAATCTGGTTATATCTGGTATCTTTTCTGGTATTGATTGAGGAGCCATGTCTTGTGCTGTTTTTTTCTTAATCCAAGTCGGAAGGACAGTAGGGCCACATTATGCTCGAGGCGCTTAAGAGTCGACCCACCGGCTTCTGGGAGGGACGCTGACAGGGTGATTTCAGTCAGATATCCTTACATGAAGAGGCATTGGAAATCCTCCAGACCTACAGCCCTGTTCAGATGTTATGCTTTTTCAGTCGACAACGATAAGCGACTATTCACACAGGTACCTTGAAGAGAACCATCATTTCGAGCACCCTCCACGTAGAGGCAGCCGGCGATAAACAGGAGCAGTCGTGCAGGCTTCATCTTTGCAATCCTACTTAAGACTGAAGTTTCTACCTCTTGGTGTATTGAAGAAGGAGTGTCAGTGTCAGAAGCTTCATAAGCCCTCGCGCGCGGAGCTTCGAAAGTCTAGACTTGGGCTTTGGGGGCATTGCGGCAAGCCCTAAATACCCTAAATCCTAAGCCCTAAGCCCTAAACCCTAAAGAAAAAAGCGAGCTCTGTTTGCCAGCAGGATGCTGGGCTCCTGGGGTTTCCTTTGGCCTTTGTGCTTGTGGGGATTTTTGGTCTTTGGGAAAGAGCTGCGATTTTGTCCGATGTCTGGATTCTGGACGAGCACTTCTTCGAAGGAAGTCGGGAAAAGATGCACCGCGATGAGGTTTCGGGGGCCGTTGGGGGGTTAGAGCTTCAGCTCTTGCTCCTCTTCGGGATGAGACTGCAGGGTTATTTAGACTGGGGGCCCGACGATGGCTTCGAGCTTCAGGCTTAAATCCCTCTAAGCCCTGTACCCTAAACCCTAAACCCTATAATTACCCTAAACCCTATAATAAGTACCCTGAACGCTATAATTACCCCAAACCCTATAATTACCCCTAAACCCTATAATTACCCTCAGCCCTGTATAAACCCCTAAACTCTCGAGGGATTTGGCTTTGCAGCTGTGGGTTTGAAGTTGCGGCTCTACGAAGGTCAAATGGCGAACAGTCGAGGCGCAAACTACAAGCCCTACGGGTTTAATATAGGGGGCCTTAATAATTAGACTAGGGTTTGGGGCTATATTATACTATAATTATAATCAGGAACCCCCAAAACCCTATTCTAATTATTAAGGCCCCTACATTAGGGTTATATAAGGGCTCGGGGTTTAGGGTCTACGCCTTAGACCCCGGGAACTACTCACTACTGGGCTTCAGGCTGAAGCAAGCACCTGAACCCTTAGAAACCCCCCAAAGACAGGCCCTAAGCCCTAGGCACCAAGCCCTGTCCATGTCTACAAGTCAACTCTACACTCCCGATGCCGCAAAACCCCAACGGCCTTCTCTCTCTCTCTCTCTCTCTCTCTCTCTCTCTCTCTCTACTTCTGTCTCTCTCTCTGTCTCTCTATCTTTCTCTCTCTCTCTCTCTCTACTTCTCTCTCTCTCTCTCTCTCTCTGTCTCTCTATCTTCTCTCTCTCTCTCTATCGCTGTCTGGATCCATCAGTCTGTCGATCTACGGACCGATCTATCTTTCGTTATGTCTTTCCATCGCAATGATTCATCTATCAATGGATCTATCTTATCGTATCATCTTATCGTATCGTATCTTTTCTGATCTTATTTTGCCTGGGCTCATCCTATCTCATCTCATCTTTTCTTGCCTTATCTGATCTATCTTCTTATCTATCACTATACAACCTGTAAACACAAATGCCTTTGTGTGAATGACCATATGTGCGTGCGGGTATACACACACACACAGAGCAATGCCAGAGAGAGATTGATTGAGAAAGTTCTTTTCGGTAATCTCCCGCCCAAGATACCCCGAGCGCCACAACACTCTTCTCCTGAACATCTCCTTGCTAGCCTTCCTCTAGGATTGACCTTGCCAGCCTTCCTTGAGGATTGATTCGTTTTCAGCTCAATTTCAGGACTCTGCGTCTTAGGCTCGGCCCGAAGCCTAAAGCCCCAAGGCACTAGCTAGCCCCCCGAAGGCCCTGAGATCTCAAAGCACCCCCAAGCCCGAAAGCCTAATCCCCACAGTAATGGTGCCAGGCCGCTCCTTTTGCAGCCTTTTCCGGCCCTGCCACGCCCGACTGCCAAGGCTCGGCGTTTCCAAGTTTTTTAACCTTGAATGTTTTTAAAAGGCTTCTGTTGAGGGTATGTATAAAATAGGTCATTTGTTTTGGACAATTGTTCGGC